TTAATCTCCCAAGTGCTAAGATCACAGGTATGTTCCCCCATGTCCAATGTATTATGGAGCACTTATTGAAGAGACATGTAATCTCTTCAATAGCTGTGTAATAAGCTCAGCCCTGGAGCCTAGGGAATTTAAAAGATAAGGTACTACTTTGAGGTAGAGAGAGGTTTATCAGTAGGATAGAGTTGAAATAAGGAGACCTGGAGATTCCAACACCTGAGGAGATACTACTTTGCTATATCATTAAGTTGACTTTTCCCTGTCTCGTTGGTTTTAGATCAGTTCAGGTCCTAATAGCATTCCTTAGCTGGGATTTTTAGAGATTAACTTATTTTGTATATGTGTGTTTTATCTGTATGTATATATGTGTTCCACATGCATGCCTGGTGCCCCTTAAGGTCAAAGAGGAGGTTGGATTTCATGGAACTTGTATTATGGGTGATGGGTGCTGGGAACTGATCTGGGTTCTCTGCAATTGCAGCAGCTGCTCTTAATCATTGAGCCATTTCTTCAGTCCCCCACCTGGGGTTTTAAAAGCAGCTTTCTGATGAGATTATTTGCAAAATTGTGGGCAGAGTCACTGGCAATGACTGCAAGCCATTATCATTGTTAGGTCTGTGGAAATGGTAATCTCAGAGCCTGGATAAAAGTTGGAGCTATATTAGGGCTACTTAAGGACAATAGTAACTGTAGAGGAAGGACAATATTGCCAAAGTGAGTGAAGCAGGGAGATATGGGGGTTGTAGGAGAAGTAAATTCCATGACCTGTCTCCCTCTTATCTCCAGCCTCCTGCCATTTGTCCCATTGGCTGACTGTGAACCCAGGCAGAAGCTAGAGAGTAAGGGACAACAGAGGCACACCTACATATGAAATCAGGGCAGTGGTGTGGGATGGCCTTCTGTGTGCTGTGAATATGTGTCACATTTATTGGTTGATAAATAAATCTGATTTGGCCAATGGCCAGGGAGAATATACCTAGGTGGGAAATGAACAAAGATACAAAGAAAAGGTAGGTGGAGTGAAGATATGCCGTGTGCCACCGAAGGACTAACATGCTGGAGCATGACTGGTAAGGCACAGATGAATAGAAATGAGTTAATTTACAAGAGAGAGCTAGCCAGTAATATGTCTGAGTCACTGGCCAATCAATTATATTTAATATTAGCCTCAGAGTGTTATTTCATAAGTGGCTGTGGAAGCTAATGGTCGAGACAGAAAGAGTCCAACTACAGGGCAGAGAAGAATGGAGACTAAATCAGGGATGAAGGTGGCAGCAAATGAAGAATAACCAGCATGATATTCCCTAGTTTTTTCTCTTAAACATTGATTCTCTAGTTGTTCTCTGATGAAGTCCAGAGAGAAAATCAGATTGGCTCAGTTAATTACTATTGTTCCTCTCTGTGTAGTGTTTTTCTTTACACGTTTCTGGCCAGCTTCTAGATAGCCTACTCTTGAATAGTTGTTCTCATACTTCCAAACAGTTCTGGAAAGAAGAGAAAGGGTGATCTAGGGTCTCAGAGTCTGGCCTCTTCCCCAGTATGGACTTTTGGAAGGACATTTTTACTCAGAACTGGCTGAAGCAAACTACGCTCATCCAAATGTTAGACCAACCTTGAAGAACTATCAGCAGTGTGTGAAAGTTTAACATAATCCTCACACTTTCCCCTCAAGATGGTTCCAAGACAGCATGGTCTCAGCCAGACTCACTATTACTGTGTGGAAAAGAAGACCATTTGGCTGTCTTGATGATAATGCTGATTGTAGATACCAGGTCCTGGGCTACATAGGATGACTTATATCTGACCCAGGGTGGGCAGTCCATATATCCCTAGTACCCCAGGAATATCCCTCCTCTTTGGTTGGGCAGTCCATATACCCTTAGTACCCCAGGAATATCCCTCCTCTTAGAGCTCTCTGTTTACAATAAAGAGATTGGGATCAGTCAGCAAATGCATATCTTCTTCTCTGTCTTTATCATGGTGTCCTTCAGTGTACTGGGAATGTGGTTCTTTCGGAATTATTCCAATGAAGCAAAAATATACCAGTCCCTCACTCTGTACCATGTGTGCAAAAGCCTGCCTGGCAGTTCAGAATAATTTAAGACTCAGTTCCTGCCCTTGGTCATCTCCCCAGACTAGCAAAGAAGGAAACTGACCACCCTAAAGTTAACTGGAATCGACTTATAGGAACGAATAATGTGAATAACTGTGGTTGCTGTTAGGTATTGTGAATAAAATCACCTCCTCTTTTCCTTTTGAAAGCACCAGTCTCTCTGCTCTTTCATTCACACTATCATTGATTATGACAAAACTCCCTTCCCCCTTATCTGATGTATCGAGTGATAGTCTACCATTATTTGTGAGCATCATTTCTTTAGTTATTAATGAAGTCGATTACATCACCATTTTCACACTAGTGATTATTCCTTGTGTGAATTTTGGGTTTGAATTCTTAGTTCATCTGCCACTTAAGCTCTTAACTTCCTCTTTATTATGTGTATATTTTATGATGCGGGGTTTTCTTCACATTCCCAAATTGGAGAGCTAGACTTACTGTAGACTGAATATATTTTCATGACTTGTTCATTTTTTTCTTTCTTTGTTCATCATGGTATGTTGCTTTAAAGTGACATTTTTAATTTGTTTTTTGAAACAGAGTTTATCTGTGTAACAACCCCAGCTGTCCTGGAACTTACTCTGTAGACCAGGCTGACCTCGAACTCACAGAGATCTGCCTGCTCCTGCCTCCCGAGTGCTGGAGTTAAAGGTGTGTGTCACCACTGCCTGGCTGTAAAGTGACATTTTCAAAGGCAGTTTTTCATCAAGGGTACCTTACTTCATGAGGTACAAAAAATCATCTTATACAAAATAGAATAGAAAGACTTGTGTGCTTTAATTTGAATAAGACATGAGGATAGGACTGTGTACTTCAACTGCAGATGGGCAACTGTATTAAAGAGAACTTGCTTACTTTGCACTATTGGAGTGGGCCTAACTGGGGCAAATGATGATATGATAAGTGGTATTTATTATATGTGTGTCAAGTATTTATTAATTCTTACCACTTTAAGGGAAAATTATTATACTCTTTTCCAGTGAGCTTAAAAGGATCTGCTCAAGGTTATTTAGATTAGCATTGGAAGAACCAGGCTGAGCCCAGGCTTGAGATAGATAACAAATTCAATATTTGTCTCAGGACTTTATGATGATAGCTGATGGATCAGGGAGTTACAACAAAAGAATGTTAATTTTTCACAGTGTACTACTTGACAAGTCTTGTCTTCTTCTAGTTATGTGTAATATTGGATTTTATTTTAAACATGATAACTACAAATCTCCAAACATTTATATTCTTTCTAGAATGAGTCAAGTAAATCGGATGATTCTAGCGGGACAAGTATGGTTGTCTTTATGTACATGCTTGATTAAAAACAAATGAGCAAGACAGGTGTGGTGCAGTCCACATCCAACTGTTACGTTCAAGGCCAGTTCCATCTACATAACAAGAACTTGCCTCAAAAAAGAAAAATACCCAGAATGACAGAAAGCCTCCCAGAAACAAATGAAAGAAACCTGTCTGTTAAAAGTGGAGTTAGGACAGGAAGGAATACATAATCCACAGTTTCACAGAAGGAAACAATTGGAGAGATCACTCAACTTTATGAATTACCTTCAGTTTGTCTCTCTACCTTGGGAATAATAATATCCATCATTGATGCCAAGATATATTTTCTAGTTTTATCAGCTTTGAAAAAGAGGTGTATTGATTAAATGATAGATATTCTTCTTTCTTAGTGTTACATAAAGGAATTGACTGTTTATTAGTTGATGCTGTCATATACAGGGTTGTATCAATTACCATCAATTACCATATATGTTTTATACATACACAACAAGATGTATAATATAAAGTAAGTATTCTTACTTTATAATAAAGTGAGTTTTGTTTCTTTTTTCTTCCTTCTTTATGTCTTTCTTCTGTCTTTTTTTTCTTTTGAAAACTATAGTGCTGAAAAGAAAGCCACTCACAATTGAGGTTCACGGCAATAAAAAGGACAACCAGAAGTGATTTCAGTTGGAAAATGGGTGGGATTTCATGGGTTGAGTTGTGTTTACAAATCAAGGGCAAACAATTTGGCAAGAATGAGCATTTAAATTTAAAATAAGACCTAAGTAAGCCAGTTTTCATTTCTGTTTTGGTTAGTCTGACTGGAGATTTGTCACATTCTTAGTTCCTTGAGAAGAGAGCTTAACTTTTGGGTGTTGCTTTTCTTTCTTCCTCTCTCTCTCTCTCTCTCTCTCTCTCTCTCTCTCTCTCTCTCTCTCTCTCTCTCTCTCTCTCTCTCTCTCGTCTCTCTCTCTCTCTTCATATATTTCTGTCTTTCACCTTTTCATGGCTTTGTTTATTGTTATTCCATTTCACCTTGCTTCTATTTTTACTTTACTTTTAATTTTTGCATTTATTTGGGGACCAGAGAGATGATTTAGCAATTAAGAGCATTCGGTGCTCTTTCGGACGATCTGGGTTCAGTTCCCAGAACCTGTATCAGGTGGCTCACACCTGCCTGTAACTGCAGTTGCACAGGGAATCTGAGCCTTCTGATCTCCACAGTCACCCACATAAGTGATGCACATGAATGTGTGTGTGTGTGTGTGTGTGTGTGTGTGTGAGAGAGAGGGGGGGGAGGGAGGGAGGGAGGGAGGGAGAGAGAGACAGACAGCATGTGTGTGTCACAGTTGTGAGGGTAGAGGTCACAGAACAATTTGCAGAAGTCTACTCTCTTTTCATCACATGGGTTCCAGAAATGAAACTCAGGTCACTAAGGTTGATGACAAGCATCTTTACTTGATATGCCACCTTGCTGGGCCGGTTTTGTTTTGCAATAGATAATATCTCTGAGGCTAGTATTTATTCCCGATGTTGTAAGTTTCAAATCAATTTTGATATTTACTCTTTTCTTATTTTTATTCTAAAATAATATATATTATTCTTTTCTCTTTAGCCCTAATATAGGATGTACCGTCCAAGGGCTGGGTTCCTGGACTGAATGAAAGCAGCAAATTATTTGAGCAGGAGCATCCATTTCTCTCTGCTTCTGTACTATGGATGTGGTGTGACTAGCTGCCTGGAGCTCCTGCCACCGTGATTTTCTCACGGTGAGTATAGAAATGTAGAGTCTACACTTCAAGGGTAGACTGGCTGTACCCTGGAAATGTTAGCCAAAACAAAATTTTGCTAAATTAATTTGCTCTGGTAAGGTATTTTGTCATAGCAATGAGATAAATACACTGATTCATGGAATTCATCCATCTGTTTCTATCCTTTTCCTCACTAGAGGGTTGTGTATCCAGGTGTCTTCCACAGACAGTTCCTGGCTGGCCCAGACTATGTGTCCATGGAACTCTGTTGATGAGCACCTTGCCCAGGACTCTGGATGTTAATGAAGTCTAATGTGAAAGCTGGTATCTCTGCAGTTGCTGCATATGCAGTTCATTTCTCTTTTAATTTTGGGCTTCGCAAAGAAGCCTTGTAGGTAAAGAGAGAGGCAGAGGCAGCCTTTGATGCCAGAGATCTCCCACCTACCTATCCTATTCTCTGTTCTGCTCTCTTGGGGAGGGCTGTGATTGGCAGTTAGAAGAGAGCAGTATTCAGAGCTGTGCCTCCCTTGTAGAACACCTCCAGAAAAGCAGCAGATTCTAACTTTTTAAGTCCTGTGAATAGCCCTAGGCTTCTCTTCTACAGCATCAGGCAGGGTCAGGGGAGGCAGCTGGGCATAGGGTGGCTTCTGTTTTTAAAATTACAAATGTATTGTTAGCTTCGAATGAAAAGAGCATGGAGACATAGACATGTCAAATGTAACCACACTCTAATTCTTCATCCTGCAGTAGTCAGGTAGAGGTGGTAAAGGACAGTGTAACCTGTACCTTTCCCTGCCAGCTACCTGGGTCTCGCCACTGTCTCAGCATCCAAATAACATACAAGACACTATATTAATTATGAAGTTGTTGGGTAGCTCTGACTTAATTATTAACCCATGATTACTAATATATATTTTTATAAGGTCTTATCTTACCAAGAAAGCCAACTTGCACCACCCTCCCCTTCTGGGATCACATGGCAACTCTCCACTCTTGATTACACTTCCCAGAATCCTCCTTGACTCCTAGTCCCACCTATCTTGCTTCCCTATTGGCCAACAGTGCTTTATTTATCAACTAATAGGACAAACATATACACACAAGGACTTCCCCTATCAGGACAGGATCAGGTGAAGGTGCTTGAGACAGAGATGAGGGTGGGCACTTAGACATTCCTCTGTATCTTTTGTATCTGAGATGCTTTCTGGATTGGTCAGAATCAGGCCTAGAGTCTGTCATTTAGCAAGTTTATCACATCAAATGGCAAATAAAACTGTATTGATTTTGTTTTGTTTTTGCTTTTGTCTTAAAACAATAAATTATTCTGCCTGGGAAATGTCAAATCTGTTGTATCTGGGGAAGATGAGGACAAGTTCAATTGAAAACTGCAGTCCTGGGACCACAGGGGCTTATGCTCTGTACCAGATCAGCAAAAAACCTCTATTGGACTGATTTCTCTACATGATTGGGAGTCGTACCCAGGCTACTGAGGCATGGGAGAAGATAGCAAAGAAAACCAAAATCTTTTTCAGTGGGTCTTGAGAAGAACAAAACCACCAGGAGTTCACACAGACACATACAGATTCATTTATTTATCAAACACATATTAAAATTTGCCTTATGCCCAAGAAGGTTTTAGCCTTTTGGAGATGCAAAGTTCCATCTCCTAGGAGCACATGGCTTAAGATCAGAGGCAATAAGAGCTTACAAATATGTTGGTTCTTCAAATTTAGACAGTAAAAGCATGGATTTGCATATGTTTGACCTGGGAACACTTTCTACCCTGTTCTCCATCTTGTCCTCATACTTCTTGATGATGATGGATTTGTGTGTCAGTCTTGTTCTCGGCTGACTTCTGGCTACTCTGCATGGAAGCACTGACTGCTCTTCAGAATATTTCTAACAATAGCACAAGACATGATCTATCCTGAGCTTTCTAGGGGAAAATATCAGATTGTAGTTCTGGTCTCAGCCTTACTACTCACTAATTTTTTACTATGGAAAAATCATTTAGCCTTTCTGGGCCTCATTAATCATAATTCTTGTTCTGCTGCCCTCCTGAGATGGCTGGAAGACTCAGTTGGATGTGTATATGCTTTGAAAATTGTTGAATGCAATATGAAAACAAGAGCCTGTAATTACTCCCTGTGCTCTCTGTTGCTTAGAGACGGGACCTGGGTGATTATTATCACAGGTTGTTCACAATTTACAGGCATCTTCTTTTTGCTCCATCTCTCAAGAAGGGAGTGATCATATCAAACCTCGGTCACCTCCTCCTATTCTAAGGTGATAGACTTTGGTTAATGAGGAAGAACTAATTTTCTTCTAGAAGATGTGCGTGAAGGACAAAGAGAGTGAGATTTTAATAGGAATCACTAAAGCTTTCTATGGAGGTCTCATGATAAGAGTGAATTTTCATGAACAAAATCAACAGACATCAGTTACTTATCAGGAAGAATAAACCTGGTTTAAAGGAACTAGTAACCTGAACCATGTGACCACACACTAGTTTATAAAGAGTTGAGTATTGTCTATTGTGAACAACTATGTGATTTCAGCAAGTTCCCAAGGTCACTTAGCCTGCCTGCCTGCCTGCCTGCCTGTCTCCCTCCCTCCCTCCTCCCCTCCCTTCCTACCTCCTTTCTTTCTTCTTTTGTTTGTTTTGAGATAGCATCACTCTGTTGTGTAGCTCTGGATGTCCTGGAACTCACTATGTAGGACAGGCTGACCTTGAACTCATAGAGACATATGTGCCTCTGCCTCGAAAGTGCTGGGGTCAAAGACACACACCACCACTCCTGGCAAGTTATCACTTTTATGTTGCGAATGACCTCTAATTTAGTAGGCTTGGGATGCTATGTGAGATTCCAGTTCCAATAAGTTCTCCAATGAAACTGAGACTTCTGGCTAGGGACCCAGCTGGAGTAGTAGGGAAATTGATGTGCTGCAGATTCTACACAAAAAGAAAGCCTGAAGTGTCATATTTTAGTAACGTTTAGTGGCTTGTACAGTGTGGTTGGAAATAGATGTTTGAACTTGGTCATCTGGGGGATAGCTCTGTGGTAGAGCATTTGCCTAATGTGACCCTGGTTCAATCCTCAATACCAAAATGAATGAATGAATGAACCAACCAATAAACAAACCAAAAATGACAACCAAAGATGAAGTCATATAGGTTACTCTTCTATTGCTGTGATAATATATCATGACCAAGGCAACTTACAGAAGGAAGGGTTTATTTGGCATTATACTTCAAGAGGGCTAGGATTCATAATTGTGGGGATAGCATGGCAGCAATTGGCAGGCATGATGTTTGGAGCTGGAAGTGGAGAGCTGAGGGATCACATCTTAAACCGTAAACACAAGAACAAGGAGTGAACTGCAAATAGACATGGCTCTGAAACATCAGCGCCTCTTTCCAGGGACATACTTTATCCTGCAAAGCCACACCTCCTACACCTACTCAAATAGGGGAATCTCATTCAAACCAACACACTCCCAAAACCTAAAAGGAAAAGAAGTGAATACTTGTTTGCTGGTATGAACATCTGACTCTGACAGCTATACCCCTCCATCATGCTTTTTGCCCTCTCTGAATCTCAGTTTCTCTTCTATACAAATTTGGATTAAATTACATGACATTTAAGGTCTTTGAATACCATATTGGATTATGAAAAGAAAAGTAAAGATGCAGGCAGGACTGCTGTGGAAATGTTTTGATGACATAGGAAGACTGGGAGAAAGAATTGTCCTTAGATCGTTTCTAGAAGAACCCACTGACTGGGATCAGTAGAGAAACCATTTTTTTTTCCTTTGAGAAAAGTAATGGTTAGTGTCATGACCTCCTCCCTGAGTACTGATCTTTTATAGATTGTGATTTACCACTAGAAACCTTGAGAACTGTGAGCAAGACTCTCCAGACTATCATTTAAACAATAACAAGAGAATGGCCACTAGATACTTACCATTCCTGGACTTCCAGCTCTGTCTGTAAGGGGGATATTTCCTTCTCACCTATCTTATCAGGGTAGGAACCTCACATCTACAGCCACTAGCCCTAAGGTGCAGTGGCATGCTCAGGGAGGGATATAAGAGTGCTCAAGCTTTTAAAGCTCTCTTATGAGGACCGCAATGGTGCTCTCTAAGGAGTCAATAATGACCCAAACTGAGAAATTGCCAGTCCGAGTGATGATACCTTGGAGGGTAGGGTTGACTTTCTGGGACAGAAACCAGTTGGGACAGATGGGGAAAAGGATGAACAATACTGATAATACTACTCTTTTAAAAAATTCATTTAATAAACAAAACTACCTCTGTGGATTAGATATTAAACCCATTAAGAAACGGAGGCTTGGAGACTTGAGCTGCTTATCCAAGGCAATTTAGCTGGAGTGTGGGATTCAAGGCCTGGCCGCATGACTCCAAAGCCTGGACTCTTGCATTCCACTACACTGCTTATTCCAAGAGGGACTGAGGGTCACACTGGAAAGCGTTTTTGTTCCTGACTCCTAAACAGTTGGTCTTGGATTTAAAGGTAAGATACAGCCAAAGGGAGAGGAGAAATATGATGTGAAGGTTACAGTAAGTTGTGGAAACTTAGGACTTTAATGTGAGTGGAGCCCAGAACTCTGTCCAAAGATGCTTGATATAAGGAGCTTCTTATTTACCAGCTACCAGTGAGTTTTTAGCTCACTGTAAGCTGTTGCTTCTTGGCTGTGGATGAAACCACAGCTTCTTTTGACTTAAGTAATCTCAGTGAATTCTGGCTTTACCTTGGTCTCTCGGGACACCACGAACTTCCTACTTTAGCATTGGTTTTCTCCATCTAACTCATCTGTGCTCATCCATCCTCTGCTCATCAGGCTGAAGTGCAATCCCCTTGGAGAGTGTGGATGAATGCCTGCCTGAGATGTATGCAGGTTAATCACAAAAGACATGCACTCCATCTCTCCTGGGCAGAGTCGACCTAGATTCACTCAGCATGATTTTTCACAGTTCACTACATCAGAGTTATGGATAAGTCTGGACATGCAAAAGCTTTGATTCAGGTTTTTTCAAACATCACAAGTGACAGAACCTAGTTATCTAATGAACGAGTATAATTCCATGCCTCATATGTACCTGGCACTGTGATGAGTGTTGCCATCAGGCTGGGTCCTGTTGTGTTTTAAAGGTGGTGTTTCAGCCTGAGCTTACTCTGGGACTCCATTTTATAAGCAGTTTTGACTACATTTTGAGGACAGTGGATGGCTCTGCACCTGGACCACACATACTTGGCATCACCTGACTAGTACCACCCATATAGCACAAACTGATAAATGACTTATTTCTAGGAGTAGAAAATGTGTCATCCTATAAACTTATCAGGGAAAATTGGAACTGTTAGGGCATATTGCAATGTGAAAACAGTACCAAGGAAATCAGGCACAAGAATTTACCAGACATACAAGACCAAGAAAAGGCTATAACTGCCTCACCCAGACCCTATAAAGAGGTGGACACCTAGCTATGATATAGTGATCGCCATTACCAACCTGTTACCTGAACACCTGGTGTGTGCATCAAGGGACCTACAGCAGAGAACTCTGACTGTCCCAGGGGCTTCAGCTTGGCTTGGTCACTTTCTCTTTGAATTGCTATCTGCCAGCATTGTTGTTTGCCAGTCTGTAGCTGCTATTTGTTGGCCCGCTAATTAGTTCATCCACACTTAGTTTTCTTGATTTCACTTTGATCCTCCAGCTCCTCCAGCTTAGCTCTGACCCTGCAACCTTACTTTATAGCAGGGCTGCAGCAGCAATCTTAGCAATGTAGGCTTTCTTTGTATTTCTGTCGTCTTCCCTGATTCTCAGGACCTCTAAAACCTCTCAAATTCTGTTATAGGCTCTTGTAGTCATTCGAACACACACACACACACACACACACACACACACACACACACACACACACACACACACACAGATTTACTGTGTGATATGTCATGTGTGATCTCAGAGTTAATATTAGTAATTAAGATTAGAATAAAATAAGATAATTGTCTCGAGAAGATCCAGATTCTCAAGGAAAGTGAAGACTATCTGGCAAATCACTGACATTTTGTGAATTTATTGTTACTCAATAGATTCTGACATACTAGCAAGACACAATTGTGTTTGTCTATGCTTCTGATGTAACACACTCACAACATAAGCATCAGGATAGGAGAGGCTGGGGAGGAAAGAAAATATTAAAATATAGATTGGAGCTAGGCAGTGGTGGCGCATGCCTTTAATCCCAGCACCCCGGAGGCAGGCAGATCTCTTTGAGTTTGAGACCAGCCTGGTCTACAAG